GGCTGGCGTGGCTCGGAGCTCAGTGCAGGCGGGGGTCTGTGCGATGCGGGAGGCAGGGCTGCAGGCCGGAGGGTGCCGCTGTGCTATCTGTGATGGGGCAGGGCAGGCCAAGATGCTGAAGAAGGCCGCGAAGAAGGCAAAGAAGGCGAAGAAGGTTTCGCTCCGTGCGTGCCCTGGTTCGGATGCAGCTCCTGGGAGGTCAGATTCTGATTTTGCCCTGGTCCGAACCTCCCAGTAGTTTCCCCCTAACCCTGGCTCCACGCGTGCAGTGGCACAGGGCTGGGCAGGAGTGGAGGCAGAGACTGGCAGAGCTGCCTCGAGCAGGGTGCATGATGAGAAGACAGATTTCCCACAGGAGCTCAGGGCCGGATGAATATGTCTACGTGCGGGCGGGTTTCCCGCAGGAGTTCAGGAAGAACAGAATGAGAGGGGAGAGAGGGGTGTGGAAGAGAAGGAGGACACATGATGTGAGGGGTATCGTATAGGTAATTCTTCATGGTAACACGGGAATGGCACGTTGAGGAAGAGCAACATTGGTCAAGTGTGCCTTCCAAGCACGTTTGTGACTTCACGATATGTATGGCATTGCGGCATGCGGCATGGTCCCTGGGTACGTTTGGTCAGGCTCATCTCCGCATGCCTTACAGCGCATATCCAAGTCTGGCAATGCTGTCATGCTAAGGGTGGAAGAGGCTGGCCATGGTCGCGAGAGCCTCCGTCCATCCTTACTCCCTCTCCGCCTCTGCATGCAGGTCAAGAAGGAGAAAGGCGTAGTAAAGAAAGAGAAGAAGGCAGCGCGATTGGGAGTCGTGTGGGGGAGCCGTTGCGTGCGCCACGTCGAGGAGGGCTTGCGAGAGCAATGATCGACGCATTCATATTGTGATGCACGCGGGGTCGGGGGTCGGTTTGCGATACTGAGGTAGCGAGCCCTCCCAAGCGTAGACGGTGGTTGATGAGAAGGGACATCGGTGTGGGTCTGTCAGCTTCTTGCAGCAGCTGCTAAATAGAAACATGTGTGCATCCCCTTTTACGAAATTCGAGTTGTCACACTGGACCTGAAAGCTGGTTTGTTCTCGAATCGTAGCTCTTCCACCAACTTTGTAACGTGCGTCGGTTGGCAATCATGCGCATATTTTACGGGTAGACGGGTTGCATACATTTGAGTTCAGTTTGTTTGGACCATGTTGGGCATCTCTTCGTTTTCGCATCAAAGGCTGTTTACTTTGGGATTTTGTTTGATGGCAAGAGTTGGTGAGGAGTCAAGCGGACAAGCGTCAAAGCGGTGACATGTTTATTTGTTGTTCTGTGAGTCGTGATGTAATAGGTGCACCACTCGAATTTGTTTGGGGCAGATGGTTGAGGTTCCGAGTGTGCAGTTTTGTGGAGGGCCAGAGTCTTGCAGCTAGGGTCCTCCGACGGTTGAGCCGACGGGTGATGTTCCACGGGCCCGTTCGTGCGCAGATTGTCAGTACCTCCCAGGCAGAATGGCAGCTATCTGTTTGTGACGATGACGACGACGACAACGACGATGACAACGAAGCGGGTACAGTGTCCGCCGAGCCCCATCATGAAACTTGGGCTTCCCAAGGGGAGTGTTGACCAGGGCTGCACCATGGGCCAGTCCGTGATCCGAAAATACACGGCCCGTTCTGGGGGTCTGGTGCGCTTCTCTTCACATCCAGGCGTTGTGCGCGAGCCAGGAATCGGAGGTTGCTAAGAGTGCCCCTGGCCCAAGGTGCTCTGGAGGCTGGGGGGGGCTCCTTGGAGATCCGGAGGCCAGGGGAACTTCTAGCAACATCCGAAGGCGAGTGAAGGAAGTTGGAGGATGGGGAGCTGGAGGTGGACGGGGAGGGGGCGGAGGACGAAGAGGGAGACTGGAAGGAGACCAGCAGAGGGCAGCAGGTAGCGCCGCAGAGCAGCAGAGAGCAGCATAGGTCATCAGCATGCAGCGCTCGCAGTCTGGCTCGCTCCCACTCTGCCTTTAGTAGCTCCCAGATCCGGTCACGCTGAGACGCTCCAAAAGGCAAACGCCAGGACTTATAGCTGTCTATCCGTAGAGATGTATGGGCATGTCTGGGGATCCCCACGTCAAACAATCAGGTCGCCCGCGCACAGCGACCGGGCTCCTTGAGATCGGCGCTCTCTCCATCTTGCCCGATCGCAGCCAGCGCTCTCTGCAGGTGCTGTCTGCGAGGCCAGACCTCTCACGCGACGCCGGAAAACAAACACCCCGTGCATCCCCTCCGTCCCCTCCTCCTTCTCCTCCTCCTCAAACACATGGCAAACACACCCAGCTGCCCAGATTCTCGCATGGTGTTCGATTCGTCCGCGTCGCGCTTCGGACTCCAGGGCTCGCGCGCCGGGCTTTCATCGAGCGGTGTGCGACGACCAGCGTAGCAGATAACGGAGGGGAGTGAAGGGGAGGGGCGGAGGAAGAAGAGAAGGAGGTGTATGCAGCACGGGTTCCCGAAGCAGCCGCAGGCGGTTTCGTCCAGCGAGGACAGCGACGACAGCGAGGACTGGCGCTGGGCCGGGGCGTTGTGCGCTGGGGCGGGGGCGACGGCGGAGCAATAACACGCAGCACGCCAAGCGCGGATCGGGAGCAGGAGGGGGCGGGGAAGAAGGCGGGGAGGGCGATCGCCATTGTCTGCAGAGCGAGCCCAAGTCAGGATCCAAGTCAAGGCAACAGGGGACAGGGTCAAAAGGATGGCCTTCGAAGGAGTCCGTCCTTATGAGGAGTTATGAGGCGCATGGCGACTTGGAGGGCCGAGCTTTTCTAACCCCCTGCCTCCGATAAGAAAGTATACCCACCCCCCCTTACACCCCTGAATATTTATTTATTATCCCGCGTCAATTGGATTTAATTGTGGAGAGGGGCGGCGAGGCCGAACTTGATGATCCCCGGGCGAAGTTGCGAATCGAAGTTGCTATCATCTTATGTTGACTAGCAATAGCATCAAAAACGCTGAGCATGGCAATGGTGGTCTCACCATTTCAGCTTCCGCAATCACGAGAGTGTGGCAATACCATGGGATTTTCAATATTTCAGTTTTCCCCAGGCACGAACGTGCGGCAGGGCCATGGGATTCTCTCTTTCCCCGCCGTTTCCGAGTCAGGAACGTGTGGTATGGCCATGGGGACCGACTGGATTTTGAAGTTCAGGGCCATTGGACCGCCCAGACTCGAGATCTGTCGAGTCAGTTTTGTGCCAAGATCTACAAGGTCAGACTACACGAGCGCTCAGATTCGAGATCTGTCGAGTCAGTTTTGTGCCATCTACAAGGTCAGTCTACACGAGCGCCCAGGAGGATCATCATCATCATCATCAGCATCATCACCCGCAGGGAAAATCATGGATTATCCCCGCCAGACTCCGAACTTATTATCTCCCAGGGATTATTATCAGGGGCAGGGGGTTCATGATCTTGCTTCGTACTAGAAGGTCCCGCCTCGCCCGAGCTCCCATTGCGCTGGAAGCGGGAGGCCGACGATCCTGGGAAAAGGCTTCAAGGGCTAGTTTTTCGAGTCGCCACAGGGCTGCGTCCCTCTTCTCCAAGTCCTTCGCCGTTCCACCCCGTGTCCTCATTTCGGGGTCTGCTGTTTTCATTATCACTCTGTGTCGTAGTAAACCCTTGGCATTGAAATCATTATTTGCCTTCTTCCTCCTCCCCTCCTCCCTCCCCGCTCCATACCTGAAAAGGGGCCGACAGGAGGCGCGTCGCAGGCTCTGTTGTGGACGGTGGCCCGCGCTGCCCGGTCGGGCGGACCAGGTGAGACCCGAGTCTGGGGGCGCGCGGTACCGAGCCGGACATTGGCTCCGTCGGGGGGCGGCGCGTCGCCGTGCAGAGGCAGACGCATTGCCCGAGGGCGCTCCTGGCGTGTTGTTTTTTGTTTTTTTTTTCCTCGGGGGGCGAGCAGGGAGGGAACGGGCAGGCGGAGGCTGGCAGCGTTACTTTATCTGATGAGGTTGGGCCGGTGCGCCTTTCCCTGTGCCTATCCCCGCTCCCCCCCCCCTTCTGGGACGTCCGAGGCAGTTTCGGTTTGAGAGGATGGCTGGAGAAGCGCATCCGCTCCGGACAGCTCGTATCGTTGACAGGATGGTCCTGACGCAGCTGCAGTGAGCATGTGCTTCTCCTTACTGTGTGTGCGTGTGTGTGTGTGTGTGTGTGTGCGTGCGTGCGTGTGTGTGTGTGTGTGTGTGTGCGTGGGTGTTGGGGGGGGCGGAGGGGAAACTTCTGGCGAGCTGGGGCCAGACCGTCCAGACAAGTTTGCATGTAGGCGCAAGGCTGCTGAAGGACGCCAGCGGCAAGCGGCAGACAGACTGAACACAATGGAAGTGCAGTGCACACTTTGGCCCATGCAGCTGCGATTCACTAGCGCGGGACAACGTCAGGCGATCGCAAACATGGATCAAGGGGGCGTGCATTAGCGACGAGTCCCGTTTCCATAGGAAATCTTGGATCTCCGCCGCCGAACGGGGCGGCACGGGCCGCATTTTGGGGAGGGCACCTCCCCCGATCCATGTGTGCGCGCCCCCGAATTCATTAGCGCAGGACAATGTCACAGTGCGCGCCATTGGGCAACGCGGAACGGGGGGGTTGTGGCGCAAGCAGGCGCACGCGTGATGAAACCCGTGGGGCATGGTCCGCACGAGTGGAGGCCACAGGTGGAGCTTTTTCCTGTGCGGCACGTGAGGAGTGCCGAAACGGGCTCGCCGAGGCAGGCGAACGAACCAGCTGGGGCTGTAGTTGGAGCTCCTGGCGGGGCACGATGCGAGTGAGGGCTGTGCCCGCCTGGGCACGCCACAGTATTCGAAGGCACCTTGTGGGAGCGCAATCCGGGTGCCTGCTGAAACCGGCGGTGGAGTGTCGTCTTGGCCCTGGTCCTCGTGACATTTGTGCCGACATGGGCACACGGCGGCATGCGAACGCACCCGCCGAGGCCGCAGGTGGAGTTGGGAATCATACGATGGGCATTTGGCCGGCGATTTGGCCCGAGAGCTGAATTTCGCTGTGACGTGGATCAGAAAACATCGGGCAGTGTCTCTCTTCATGGTAGCGTGGAGCCTGGCAGGATCCTCGGAGGACGCCAGCTTCGATGTCGTTCCCCTCGTGCCAAGGGAGGGCAAGCTCGCGTTGTGTCAGCGCCTTGTCGTGTACTTGAGCAAGTATACCCGCCTAAAGGTGACCTGGTGGGCCAAAAGGAGTTGCGCTCAGGAGTACACGGATCGGCGCGAGCGCATCGAGAGTGATCTCAGTGGCGGTCTGAACATGAAGAACGGTTGCGAACTACGAGGAACCCACTCGCCAATTTTAAGCCTTGACTCAAGAAGTGGAAAGGCCTAGCGACGACAGCGCCCGGCTTCGCCAACAACAGCAAGGTGGTCCGCAGGCGTTGCCGGCCTTGGTGGAGGCGGTGATTCGCTTGGCGGACAAGCCCGACTACACCTGGCAGAGGTGCAGGGGTTCGTCGGCACGACAAAGATCGGCAAGCCCACGGCGTTCGACGGTTCAGAGACTGAGTACCAGAAGTGGGCGGCCAAGTTGGAGACGTTCGTTGTCGGCGTATATGGCGAGCAGTTCCGACCGCTATTGGAGTGGGGCGTCGATCGACAGAAGGTGATTGGTCGCGGTCGCTGGCAGGCGGTGTTCGGCGCTCAGAGTAGCGACGAGAACGTCCGCGTAGATGAGGTGGTGGCCCAGGTTCACACGGCGATCCAGCATCTTGTGGCCGGCGAGCCTTTCGACGTCACGCAAACCGCTGACAGAGAGAATGGACTCGGGCGCCGACGGCGACTGGCGCGGAGGTTAGACCCATCGACCACAGGGCACACGCGCAACTTGTTGAACCAGGTCATGTCGCGAGGGCGCTGCAAGCTTTAGGAGCTGGCAGGCGCGCTCGAGCGATGGGGGGAGGCCGTGCTGCGGTACGGGTTGAGGAAAGACGACGATGGGAACCGCGAGCGTCCCTCGGTCAGCGTGAGGACGTCGGCCCTTGAGAGCGCGCTGCCCGCTGAGCTCGAAGAACACGTTCCGTTCAACCAGAACCGCCTGGACGCGCACGAACTGCTGAGGCGTGAGATCGCGCCCCACCTCGAGGCTCGCACGGGCGCCTGGAATCGGGGCCCGCACGATGTCCTGCCAGGCGAAGTTGGCGAAGGCCATTCGGAGGAGCTCTGGTTGTTCCCTCCAAAGATGCGCTGCCGCACCACAGACAGGAAACAGCACGAACGGGGGATGGCGCTCGAAGCTTCGGCTGCGCGTCACTCGCCACAGAACTACTGCGGCTGCGGTCAGCTGGGCGCGGCTGGATGGTGAAGCGTAGATACGTCCTGGTAAATGATGCGGCATGCCTTGCGACCGCCGTCGCGACGCAGCTCGGCCCCATGCGTTTCGAGTGCAACCTTAAAACCTACATGTGGGGCCAGCGTAGCCTTTTCTACTCCCCGATGACATCCCCCTGCCTCCCTCGACTGCCATCGCGCGTTTCAACCAAGACGCTGTGGTTGGCACCGTGCGGTATTATCTTTGCCTCTCCTCTCCCTGTTCCTCTCCCTCGCCCCCCCCCGATTCCGTCGATGCATGGCTGGCGCCTTCCAGCCGACACGGCGTCTTGAAGGCCACCTTGGGCGCCTTGGAGGCCTATTCGGCCGTCTTGGGACCCTTCGAAGGCCGTCTTGAGAGCCTCTTGGGCCGTCTTGGGGCTATCTTGAATTTTTTTTGACAAATTGTGGGGTAATCGTGGGGGCCTCTTGGGCCGTCTTCCGTCGGACGGCCGTTTTGGAACAAATGCTATCGTCCTTCAAACACACACGAGAGATCAATGATTTTGACTTTTTCGGGCCTTCCTGGGCGACCTCTTGGAGGCCGTCTGGGCCGTTTTAGGGGCCTCTTGGGCGCTTCTTGGACCGTCTTGGGCTCTCTTGGGCCACCTTGGCGGTCTTGAAATGATTCGGGCACCGTCTTGGAGGCCATCTTGGCGTTATCTTGGGCTTTCTTGGGCCATCTTGGCTGTCTTGGAGGGATCTCGGATGCCATCTTACGTCATCTTGGCCGTCTTGGGGGCGATTTGACCAATGAGAGGTGGATGCTGTGCAGTTCTCTGGGTGTACGGCGGTTTGGACCGAAGCCCCTGGGGGATTTCTTTGGAAAAGAACCCGAACCTCCCCGACATCTGGCACGCTGTGCACCCGTGTGGCAAGACCAGAAAGGGGCGACAGATGGAAGACGCCTACGGCGAATCACCGCCGCCCCTGTTTTTTTGGAAGCGCCCATGCGGCCAAATTTGGGCCGGAGTCATGCCAAAGTATTGGACAATGTGTTCCCCCAACCGTTGTGGAATCCTTCGGGGGAGCATTGGGGAGAGGAAGGAACAGGAGGAGGAGAGGACGGAGAAGGCGGAAGAAAAAGAAGAGGAGGCCTTTTTTTTTTTTTTCCTTTCATTTTTTTTTTTTCTTTTTTTTTTTTTTTTTTTCTTTTCTTTTTTTTTTTTTTTTTTTTTTTTTTTTTTTTTTTTCTTCTTTTTTTTTGTTTTTTTTCTTTTTTTTTCTTTTCTATTCTCGAGGCCCTCTTGGGGGCTCTTGGGTGGCTTCCAATGAGCATTCGGGGGAGTTCTGAGGGCCATCTTGGGGGCCCCCATCTCGGCGGGTGAAGTTCGCATGCCGACGGCCTAGGTTCGCCCGAGTGGGGGGCTCCCCATGTTTTGTGGAGCGCGTGATGAGTGCCGCAGCGAGCTCTCCGCGGCACGCGAGCGCACCCGTCGGGCCGATGGTGGGCGCTTCTTGGGGCGTGGCCGTGCGAAGGAGGGTTCTGGCCGCCGTGGCTGGATGCCTATCAATCGGCGGCGGGGCGGGGGGAAATGAGAAGGGGGACGGGACTTCCGAGGGCTTTTTTTTTTTTTTTTTTTTGTTTTTTTTTTTTTTTTTTTTTTTGTTGTTTTGTTTTTTTTTTTCTTTTTTTTATTTTTCTTTTTTTTTTTTTTTTTTTTTTTTTTTTTCTTTTTTTTTTTTTTTTTTTTTTTTTTTTTTTTTCTTTTTCTGAGAAGTTTTCTGGATTCTGAACGAGGGCTTTTCTTTTTTTTTTTTTTTTTTTTTGTTTTTTTTTATTTTTTTTTTTTTTTTTTTTTTCTTTTTTCTTTTTTTTATTATTTTTTTTTTTTTTTTTTTTGTTTTATTTTGTTTTATTTTTCTTTTCTTTTTGTTGTTTTTTTTTTTATTTTTTTTTTTTATAATTATTTTTTTTTTTTTTTTTTTTTATTTTTTTTTTTTTTTTTTTTTTTTTTTGTGTTTTTTTTTTTTTTTATTTTTTATTTTTTTTTTTTTTTTTGTTTTTTTTTTTTTTATTTCTTCTCAGAAGTTCTGTCTGTATTCGAAATAGGCCAAGGAAACGTCTCAGAAGCCCCCCGGACTTCTAAGAAGTCCCGCGGCCTTCTGAGAAGGCCTTCTCCTTCTCATTTCCCCCCTGGGCTCGTCGCCTATATCAAGGAGCCCGGTCGCGGGCGCATGCCGTCGATTGGCTTTCCGGCTTCGGCGAGGACAGGCAGAGCCATTCAAGGCACAGCAGGGTCTTTCCAAACCACGGGAGCTGCTCCCGAGGAACGGGGAAGTCGGCCTCCCGCTCTCGGCGGGCGCTGGCCGGCTGACTAATGATTCGACGCGGGGATCTTCAGATGTGTATCCCATATTCCTGCCACGTCTCGCTGGGGAACTCAGTCCGTGCGTATTTGGGTGTGCGAGCGAGTTCGTGCGCTGGCTGCGCGAGCTGGTAGCGCGCGGTAGCCGAGGAGAAAGTCAGGGGAGCAGGAGGGAGGGAGGAGGCAATAAGAAAGGGAACAGGAAAAGAGGGAAGGAGGGGGGAGGGGGGACGGGGAGAAGAAAGGAAGAAGGCAGCTTCCGGCCTGAGACAAGCGCCTTTGTTGAGACGTCCCCGCAACCTGCTTTGACGAGGCAAGGCTGGAGGACCGAAACACGAAAACCGCCTGAGACATCCCCATAATCTGGGCGCGAAGACTCGGGTGTCCCCACCACTGGCGGCTCCCTTTCGGGGTGCCCAACTGCCACGCGGTGAGCACTGAATAACGAAAAGAGAGAAGCCTGGGGGTAGAGGCGAAACAGACACATTGGCTGAGAGCCCCCACAATTTGGAAACTATTTTAGAGTGCCCCGCACCCGGACGGCGTTCCCAGTTGGGCTGCCCAAGTGCCACGTTTGCCCGATCGCGGTGAGCATTGGACCACGAACGGAGAGAAGCCTGCGAGGGGGCCGAAACACGCAAACCGCATGAGAAACCTCCACAATCTGAACACTACTTCCAGCGTGTCCCCACCCCTGGCGGCTCCCCATGGGGGGGCCCAACGGCCACGCCTGCTCTATGGTGGCGAGCATTGGACCACGAAGCGAGGAAAGCCTGAAGGGCCTAAACCAGGAAACCGCCTTAGACATCTGCACAATGTGGACGCGACTTTTTGAGTGTCACCACCCCTGGCGGATCCCCTTCGGGGTGCCCAAACGCCACGCTTGCTGTATCGCGGTGAGCATTGGACCATTAAACGAGAGAAGCCTGGGGTGCCGAATCAAGCAAGCCGCCCCAGACATGCCCACAATGTGGACGCGAGTCGTGGAGTGCCCCCCATGGCGGCCCCCCCTTCGGGTGCCCAAGTGCCACGCCTACTATATCTTGGCGACCACCTGTGAGTGAATATGTGTGTGAGTGAATCAGTAAGTGATCTGAGTGTTAGTGAGTTGAGTGTGAGTGAGTCCGGGTATGAGTGAGTCTGAGTGCCAGTGAGTTTGAGTACGAGTGTGTCTGAGTCGGAGGTTGGGGGGTGAGTTCGCAGTAGACCGGAGACCCCCAACTGGGAAATCGTTTCGTTTCGTTCGTGTTGTGCGTGCGGGCGAGGCGAAGCTGCGTAGGCGCGCGAGAGAGATGAACCCGCCGTTGCTAGGGCGAAGTCAAGACAAATGATTATCATCCGCCCGCCCGTCCGGCGGTGGCTCGCGGTGTCCCGCGGTGTCCTGTGGGAATGAACCCGCCGTTGCTAGGGCGAAGTCAAGACAAATGATTCTCCTCCGCCCGCCCGTCCGGCGGTGGCTCGCGGTGTCCCGCGGTGACCTGCGGTGTCCCGTGATGTCCGCCGTTGCTAGTGCGAAGTCAAGACAAATGATTATCCCCCCCCGCCCGTCCGGCGGTGGCTCGCGGTGTCCCGCGGTGTCCCGTGGTGTCCCGTGGTGTCCCGTGGTGTCCCGTGGTGTCCGCCGTTGCTAGGGCGAAGTCAATACACATGCTTCTCCCCCGCCCACCCGTCCGTCCGTCCGTCTGTCCGTCTGGCGGTGGCTCGCGGTGTCCCGCGGTGTCCCGTGGTGTCCCGTGGTGTCTCGTGGTGTCCCGTGGTGTCCCGTGGAGTGAGATCGATAGTGATATCGATATTGAGATCGATGTGGTGTCCCGAGGTGTCTTGTGGTGTCCCGTGGTGTCCCGTTTGAGTGAGAACGATAGTGAGATCGATAGTGAGATCGATAGTGAGATCGACAGATTTCCTGTGGTGTCCCGTGGTGTCCCGTGGTGTCCCGTTGAGTGAGATCGGTATTGAGATCGATACTGAGATAGATTTGGTGGCCCGAGGTGTCCCGTGGTGTCCCGTGGTGTCCCGTTGAGTGAGACCGATAATGAGTGAGTTCGATAGTGAGATCGACAGGTGTCCCATGGTGTCCCGTGGTGTCCCAAAAGTGAGATCGATAGTGAGATCGACAGGTGACCCGTGCTGTCCCGTGGTGTCCCGTTGAGTGAGATCGATAGTGAGATCGATAGTGAGATCGATAGTGAGATCGATGTGATGTCCCGAGGTGTCCCGTGGTGTCCCGTTGTGTCCTATGGTGTCCCATTGAGTCAGATCGATAGTGAGATCTATAGTGAGACCGATAGTGAGATCGAGAGGTGTCCCGCGGTGTCCCGTGTTGTCCCGCCGTGTCCCGTGTTGTCCCGTTGAGTGAGATCGATAGTGAGATCGACAAGTGTCCCGTGGTGTCCCGTGGTGTCCCGTGGTGTCCCGTTGAGTGAGATCGATAGTGAGATTGATTGAGTCGGATGTTAGTTCCCCCTCTCTCTCCCCCCCACAACCTCCTTATCACCCGAAGGGTGGTCGTATAGGTACGTGGGTCTGAGTAGGTGTGAGTCTGAGTGTGAGTGAGTTTGAGTGTGAGTGACTATGAGTGTGAGTGAGTCTAAGTATGAGTATGATGCCTGAATATGAGAGAGTCTGAGTGCGA